AACACTTACGTTTCAAGAAAACCTCCTTTGACATTCCCACATTAATGAAATGATACGGAAAATTTGCCCCATGATTAACTGCCTTCGTAGTTTTAAATACAGACTGTCGCGCAAAACTCTCGAAACAATGTATAAATCCTTCATTTTACCTTTATTTGATTATTGCTTCCAACTCTGGGACAATTGTACAAACGAACAGTCTTTATCACTAGAACACTTTTCCTTAGATGCCTTACACACAATATGCGGTGCAGTCAGAGGTACGAGCCATGTAACACCATATAATGAGACAAACCAGACCTCCTTAGCGAAACGAAGAGAAACTTTAATTAATATTATTTTACGAAATGGTAATCCATATGGTTCCGACTATCTTTGTGATCTTGTTCCAGGGAATGTCTCTGACAACAGTAATTACAATCTTAGGAACAATGAAAATTATCAGACAATAAGATGCAACTCCACTATTTATGCCAATTCGTTTTTGCCCATACAATTAAATAGTGGAATAACCTACCCACAAATGCGACAACTGCTTCCTCTGTGGGACAGTTTAAAAACCTATTCACACCACAAGCTGATACCAATACAATGTTCGATCTAGATTTTGGTAGTCGTTTCTGTCAAAAAAATGCATTGTCACCTTAGATTGGGATGCAGTGGCTTAAACAGTGATAAATATATTCGTTTCATTTTTGATAATGCTTCTTGTTTCTGCTCACATGATTATGAGTGTTGTCCCTCTTACAACAACATATGAGGATGTTTTCCAGTACCTCTTCGTGTGTCCTAAATATAATAGCTTTCGATATGAATAATATTTTTATGAGAAGGGTTTCTCCCTCCGGGATGTGCTAGAAGGTAGTAATAACTCAGTATCACATCAGACAAATATGGATATCCTACAGTCAGTGCATCAACTCATTATTACATCAAAACGATTTGATTCACAAAAATCTTGTAGTTTCTATTATTTTCTTATTTGTATCAACTGGCCACGAAACAAAACTAAGGTAATTTGGTATTATCCAAGATTGTTATCATTCAGAGATAACCTATTCATATTTTCACAACTTGTTACAATTATTATGTACAACATTATGTATATATGTGAACGTATATATACTCACCTCCAAAAGATACGCGACAACTAGTCTCATATAAAACAAGGTACCAGTTACTTGTGGTCGTGATAGCTAACACAGCGCTCGGGTTCTAAACAAATGCAATAAACAACAACTGATATGGCTTTTTATAAATTTACTGACATTAAACAATGGTAACCGGGATGTTAGACTGAATGCCTGTTACCACATTGTCATGTTACCATGGCATGAAGAACCGTCAGTATCGGGTATGGCCGTCATTATTGTTGACGACAGCCAAACAACGCCTCCTCATGGACATGAGCGGATGCCTGACGAAGGCACAGGGGATGTTGTTGCACACATCTAAAACTGGTTGTCCAAGCTGACGCCGATTCCGTGGGCGAGCTGGTCTCTGACGTAGACGTCTGTCAATCTCGTCCCACGTGTGTTCCAAGGGGTTGAGGTCTGGGCTAAGAGCTGGCCAGTTCATCGTCTGGATGTTATTGACAGTCAGGAATTGTTGGATGAGTCTGGCGGTGTGTGCTCTCGTGTTGTCCTGCTGGAGAACCAACTGGGGTCTGGCAGCGAAAAGCGGGATGACAACAGGCCGCAACACCTCATCCACATAACGTTGTGCAGTCACACCTCTTCCACGACCTAAACCGTTGGTTTGGTAGATGACGGGTTGTACTCGCCTGCCCCAACTGATTCCTCCCTGATCATAATGGAAGGCCCTCCCCAACGGTCAGTTTCCAAAACACAGGGATCACGGAATTGTTCATTCCTTCGACGCCATATCCTGACACGGCCGTCGGCGACATGGGTACAAAATCGGCTCTCATCAGTGAAGACAATGTTACGCCACTGCACGTGTCTCCAATTCAGGTGCTGTCGTGCCCACAGAAGCATCTGTTGTCGATGACGAGCAGTTAGGATAGAACCAACATAAGGCCTGCGACAGTGTAGTGCGTTTGCCCTTAGACGTCGACGTATTGTAGCCGTAGATACAGGCCGATTGTGGATACCAATGGTTTGATTGGCTGTCGTCGTGGCTTGAAGGAATCTGTGACGTAACTGGGAGTTCACAATGTAACATCCTGTCTGTGGGTCGTCGCCCTCGGTCGACCACTCCGCTGACGATCTCTTACGGTATTGTTTTGGTTATGGCGTTCCAGAAGTCTGTAAATGGTTGCACGATGGACACCAAGCTGTGCAGCATTAGCGACTCTCATGCCAGCATCAAGCATCCCTAGTGCCCGTTATCTCGCATCATTATTCAGTCGTGGCATTTCTTATCAGATTGTTTACGAACGTTAACAGGTTCTGCTGATTCGCACGTGCTAAATGTGAATGTGACATAAGTTTCACATGCACGTGCAGGTAAGGACACGGGGAATGTGATAGCGGTGCGACACTGGCTGCGTTTGGGTATAGTGATTATGCGTTTTGCCAGGGACAGTGTTGATAGGAACAAACACGGCGCGGTGACAGAAATGGCAGCAAAGGAGGAATTTTGTCTATGGAATGCCTGCGTAAGACATCCATACAACCATAATCAGTACTTATTATCTAAAAAAATGCACATGTCAAATACAATCAGCACGAAGGAAATGACAACAGAGTATCGCATTACTTTTAGAGTTTAGTATATGTATTATGGAGCGGCATTAACATAAGCCGTTTAGGCATGTTTGTCAATCCCTTTCGTTCACCAATAAAATCTGTTTAATCAACAATTAACTGTAGAACGCAAAGATATTCTCAATCATTTTTACCGAGCGTGATTATGTCGTGGAATTCCTTGCCCGATGAAGCAGTTAATGCTACTTCCCTGAATCAATTTAAAGCTATGGCAAGCCCAACAAAAACCCACAATTACTTTGACTTAGCTGTTGGGACTAGATTTTGTCAAATCATCAAACTCGGCTGTAGTGATCTTAACGCAGACATAAGACATATAATCGACACATATCGGAAACATCCAGATGTTTGTGTGGTCACGATAACAAAGACGCTGTTCACTACCTTTTCTCATGTAGAAAAAATTAAGAACAAATATGGATTTTCATATTCAAGGTTACCATATTAAAACAGTACTTTACGGTAACGAGTCACTGATTAAATCAGTTAACAGTAAAATCCTAAACTCATTACACCAGTGTATTACTAAAAGTAAGCGCTTCCTGTGACTAATGCCACAACATCATTTATATACCCAATGTACTTCAAGCTTTATATTTTATATTTAGTTTTGCAGCGGCAGTCATTAATTACTAGGCATGATAAGTATTTATTGTGTAATCACAGCTATGACATTGTGTTTAAGTGTCCATTTCCCCAGTATCATTCGTTTACGTTCTAGTTGTTACGTTTGTCATTTAACTATGTTATGTATTCAGCTTATGTAAACTAGGTATAACGGTTAACATAAGCCTAAGGCTTGTTCGTTAATTCAGGTTTCTGTTTTGCGAAATAAAAATATGTTTAAACCATATTGCAACGGCAGTTTTATCCTTATAAAATGCTTATTCTTCAACATATATGTTTCAACTGGGAAGGTTCCAAAAGCGACAAGACACAATCAAACAACTTGATGGTGAAAAGTGCTAAACTCTTGAATGTGGAATGTGCCGTAAAGTTCAGATCTTATTCAATATTCTTTAGAGATGGAGATTTTTCGGGCCTCCAACCCTTTAGCCAGTGGAACTACATTTAGTATAACACGACATTTCAAACATGCAGATTTAACATTTTGAATATGAGTAATAAAAGACATTTTTATCAAATATTTTTCCTAAAATAATGGTCTAGTTGGACACTTAATTAGACGAGAGGAACCAAGAGAGCATGATCAATCATAGCTCTGCTAAGAATCATCCAACCAGCATGTCCATATGTAATCATTTGCGTACCATGATGCCGTGGTGATAATGCCAAGATTGAAGATTCTGTGTTCTGTTCCAGCGGTCTCCACACTACCCCGTGTAGATACTTTAAAGAACACTGTCTCCGACTGCAGCACTAGCTGACAATGATCCGGTGCAAACGACTGATGAAACTTCTGATGTTGTTGGCTGTCGGCCTGGCTTTAACCCTTTATGTGAAGCAGCCACAATATAGTGAGATATTACCTTGTAATATTATGACAGATGCTCTGTTTCGTATAGCATTTGAATTTATTCTTTTATTTGTATTGGCGTGAAAATAATTAAGTCACTATACACCAAGTTGATTCAAATCGTAGAGTTATTTTGAACTCCGTGTAACATTCCTGTATTTGGAATTGTAAATGTTTCGACAGTGTCCAAAATACTCTGCCATGTCTAACACAGCTTTTGATTTCAAGTTACAGGGTATCTTCCGACGACTGAAGGTGTGCTGGAGTCACTGTCAGCGGGGAAATTCGCGACTGAAGCCACAGGGAAAAGTAAAACTTTATCTTATATGCATTACTCAAGGGCAAACGTTATTGTGACATTTAATTTAGTATTGGTAACGAATGTTGAACGAATGTTGAACGAATGTTTGGATAGGAGCCAAAGACGAATTGCGTTAATATGGTCGAAGAAATACAACAAAGAAGTTTTGGTTCGAATTGCATGAAATTTGCCAGAATGCAGGCGTAAGCAATGCAGAAGTTAACGGAGACACGTCAATGTATCGTTCTGGAACAAATTCCACAAGGTAGGCCTAGGAGATATGTCAGATGGAGAGCTATAGATATGCTTCGGTCTGGTATCTCGCAGCATGACGTAACTCGTCGAATCAACGTCCAGAGAAACACCACTTGGCACTTATGGCGAGGTTTTCTTCAACATGATCAAGTTATGGGCGGTCACTCTAGCGGCTATACATCCGACAAATACATCGTATTTCAACCCCAAATTGTATCTGTTTGCACTCCAGACAATAAAGCCACAGAAAAGAAGACCATGGTAGTTCTTCTGACGTACATGCGCAGTGGATCCACGTTCACCGGTGATGTCATCCAGAATAACCCGGATGTCTTCTACGTGTTTGAACCGCTTCACTCTATAGAGCGGTTCCGCAAGGGGAAAATGAATCTAATGTTTCTCAATGAGGGGTATGTACCCGGGCAGTGTGTTACGAAAGGAAGCAAGCAAGCGACCTTAGATATGTACAGTTAGAATACAGTTGGTGATTTTCCATTATAAAAGGTGTCACTGATGCTATTTAATATCTATAATGAGATAAATAGTTTTACAGGGAAACGGGGACATCTGAGAGCTTTGCATTAGTCGTGGAACTTCAGCTGACCGTACATCCTGTTAGACGATTGACCAAAGCGCCCTACTGCCCATCACGCCATTGACCATGAAAAGTCAAGCACATTAATATCGCCTCTGTTCTCAAAACAACCCCAGAATCGACGAGGCATTCTCTTAATCAAACGTCCAATGTCAGCTTGGTTCGTTCCGTCCCATTCTTCCTGCAGGGCGAAGTTCGTTAGTGGTCAGTGATATCCCAGTCATGCTCGATGGATGACAAATTTGGTCAAAGTGCTGGCTATGGTATATGGTTACGTCCGCCTGTTGGATGTACTCAGTAACCTTCGACATTTTTGTGTTCTTGTGGTGCCATCCTGCAACACAAAAGTAATCTTCTGATTCACACCGACCACGGTTTCGTAACAGATTGGTTCTGATGAAACGGTTTTGTGCACAATTGTCAAGTTTAGTTCAAGTTTCAAGTTCAAGTGTCTTATTACAGTATTAGAGGCCTCCGGCCCAAAGTACATGTTTTGTCTGACAATCTCCTTTCACAGAAGGTTTACATAAAAGTGAATGAATAGAAAAAAAATGTACAAATACAATATAAATAGTAAAAATGAATGCAAGAGAACATTTCAAACAGCGTTAGGCAGCATATATGGAGAATAATCTATTTTATGAACGCTTTAGTCACTTTTGATATTCAAGTATATCTCCCTTGAAAAGACTGTCAACCAGAAGTTTTGCTTTGCTTAAATAGTTATTTCTCTTTCTCGTGGCAGATAAAATGAATTTTGAGCTTTCAAAAACAAGTGGAGAGTTATTCCTAGCTTTGGTGAAGATAAATGAAACTTCGAGTCGAACAGCTTTCAAACATAGGGCACTTGCCATATTTGAAATTTAAACAATTGCTCCGTAACCCTTGAAGGTCCGGATTAGTGCCTTCATTAACCCATGCTTGTCGTAAGAGGCGACTAACGGGATCGGGTGGTCAGGCTCGCTGACTTGGTTGACACATGTCATCGGTTCCCAATTGCGCAGATCGATGTTCATGCTGTTGATCACTGGAATGTCTGGTCCAGACTCGATTATTGACAGACCGCCGCCATATAGCTGGAATATTGCTGAGTGCGGCGTAAAACTAAACTCACTCACTCAGTTGCTCCGTACATCGAAAACTGTCGCACGTGGTGTTTACCGAACTGGTTTCAATCGCAAGTTGCGCGTTGGATATTCCTAATGAGCGCTCCAAGGGACATAACTCTATCGGGTTCGCTTGAAATAATGTTTGGCCTGTAGAGGGCGCGAGAATCCATGTAATGCAACGCTGCATTAATTCATTCGAACGTTTTGATTAATATTTTAATCTAAATACGTAATTTTTTTTAAAAACTAAAACATTATATGGTAGCTTCCCTGAGGGCTGATACCTATCATTGAGAGAAATGCATTATATATTTTTGGAGAAGTGTGATTTGATATAGTGCCTTTGTGACTTATCTCAGACTTATATTGACAACGTAAATGCAGTTCGTGAGTGAGTCAGTAAAATGTTTACAAATCAGTTAGTAGTACTGGGTGCCTGTATGTCATAGATTTACATGTGGAAAGTAAAACATGGTAAAATATCATTTTGAGCCACAAACGTGAATTCTTTCTTAAATATGGAATAATCACAAAAAATGTTTATTCATGCAAATGTACAATGGATTAATCAACTCTTTGTTTTCTGCGTCCAGCCTACAGAGAAGAGTGCCTTCAGTATCGCAGAAAACACTTGAAAACTTCCTGACATGTAACATGCGCGGCATTGACGTTTATACCCTGGGTCAACGTCACATGCACAACAGCATTGACACACGTGACTACGACAACTGCAGGAACCGGAAGCCAGGGATCCTTGGAACCCTTGATTGTCTTCCTGTGTTAGAGCGGCATTGCGTCAGGGCTCCTGTATCATGTGTTAAAACCATCAGGTTCAATATGACAGACATGAGGTACCTCATGAACAAACATAAAAACATTAAAATTATTCACCTGATTCGGGATCCGAGGGCCACACTCCGGTCTCAGAAAAGCGTAGGGCAGATCTCCTTTGATAGCTTGGACATACATGCAGAGAATTTCTGTCAGAGAGTAAAACGGGATTTGGATGTTTCTTCAGAGATAAAACCATTTTACCCTCAGCGCATTTTGACCGTTCGATATGAGGACTTAGCCGAGAGACCTTTCGAGACAACAGAGCACATCTATAGATTCCTCGGCTTAAATTTAACTACAAGCATCCGAGATTATGTCCAAAATATAACGAGTGGCAGTGGCAACATCTGTAGAAGGAACTCCTTGTGTACCAACAAGAACTCCAGGCAAATTGTTTCCAAATGGCGGACAAGTCTATTGTACAGTCATGTGGCTGTTATCGACAAAATCTGTGAGCCTTTGTACAAGATGATGGGGTATCTACCCGCTAACGAACACAACCTTCGGAATCTCAGTGTTCCCATGTACACAACAAGGAACACTCGCTAGGTCATTGGAGTGATATTAAGTTATCCACTTTAACAGTGAGTTAACCTGTACAAAGCAGCTGCACAGAGAATCCACCCCCACCCACCCCCCTCGGCCTCACCCGCGTCCCTGCCCATGTCCACAGAAACACTGATCAAGCTTAAGATGAACATAAAGATAAATAAATTACATTCAGCTCGTCTTGCATTGAAATCAACCATTATATATACGTTCCCAGCTGAAATAACTGCAAGTGATACCCGCCACGCTAAAGGTCTCCCCCACACTAAAAGTCACCCCTACACTTTTCGTCACCCCTACACTTAAGGTCAACCTACACTTTAGGTCATACCTACACTTAAGGTCTCCCCTACACTTAAAGTCACCCCTACACTTAAGGTATCCCCACACTTAATGTCACCCCCTACACTTAAGGTCTCCCCTACACTTAAGGTCAACCTACACCCCATACCTACACTTAAGGTATCCCCACACTTAATGATCACCCCTACACTTAACATCACCCCTACACTTAACGTCACCCCTACACTTAAGGTCACTCCTACATTTAAGGTCATTCTTACACGCCTTCTGACCTGAATCAACCACAACCACAAAGGCTTACCATACTTACACAAGAATCCCCCCAGACATATTCACCACAACCGCTTACCCTGTTCCTCATCCCGCCGTCCGAACGTTCACATGTTTCCACGACAGCCACTGGAGTTCACCAGCCTCTAATGCCCAATTCCACCCACATCTTCATGTATTGCCAACAAAACCACAACCGCCAACTTCCCACCTCACCAGATGAGGCCTTTTCTCCATCATAATCTCCTTTGAATTCATTAAACCAGAAAACATGCTTAGAACCTTCCAATTCTAATCTTGCTTAAGTCTTTGATTAGAGATAATAGTCAGTGAGTGTCATGCCAGCAGAAGGGGCACGAGGATCGGGCTTCTCTCGGCTGACGTAGTTGTGAAGTGGTGCCCCTTGACTACGTGGCAGACAGTCGACCACAAAGCCGAAGCCATGGTTTTGTCAGCTGCAGCTACCAGCTCTGAGGACACGTTGATGCATCCTCGCCAACCTGTCGCCATCATGGATTGGGGTTCATGCTGCTCCCAGATCAGCGTATTCAAAGATTTAAATTTAACATAAGTTATATTTGGGATTATACTTTCTGTGGTAGCCAAGTGGTTTAGATGGCTGACTTTGTGTGCTGGCGATTAGGTGTCTGACTCTGAGGGTGTGGGTTCGAATCCCGGATGGGACTCAACCCAACAAAGTTACTAGAATATGTACTTTACTAAGAAAGTGTAATCCCAAATATAACATGTTACATTTGACCACTTTCTAAATGGCATTGTGTATTTGTATTAACAATCGCCCACTAAGGCAAGGTCATGTAATGTTTGAAGACATACTCTTGAAATTGAAGTTTATGTGTTGTGTTATATTTCAATGGAAACTAGCTCGTCTAGTGTCATCGTTTGGTGGCGGAACGAAGATGATGAATTAACAAGACAGGTCAGGATAAATGATGCTGGAGATGGATACCGTTGCAGCAAACAAATGTGTACATTCCAGCGTCCAGAAAAACATCTATCTTTCGTTACCCTCGTACATATAACGTCTTTGTAGCATAACCATGGATATGTATATAATGCAGCTGGTTGCGGTACTCGAAAGTCACACACCCCTCCGACCAAATATGAACCCAAAACATTGTTTCTTAAAAAAAATAAACACCGTTAGCATTTTGTCATTGAATCTCTGAATCTTAAAGCAGAAATATTTACGTGGTAGAGACGGGTAGGTCCCACGCGTAGCTGTCAAATGTGAATTTCCTTGTTTACGGAGGGAATGCAATTAGCAAGGCGTCCATGGGGATGCCCTATTCTTGCCTATGTCCACTGCCACTCCACATACATGTTACCGGTGAGGAGTGAGTGAATATGGTTTTACGCCGCTTTTAGCAATATTCCAGCAATATCACTGCGGGGGACGCCAGAAATGGGCTTCACACATTTTACCCATGTGGGGAATCGAAGCCGGGTCTTCGGAGTGACGAGCGAACGCTTTTTTCACATTTATATCTACAATTTATGTAGTTAATATGTGAAATTGTGAAATATATGTTAAACTAGGTTCGGCCTAACCACAGTCTCAGAGGTAGGGAGATAGGAAACGTAAAAAAGGACTTTACTGAGGAGTGATTAGTGCAGAAATTAGCAATGCGGGTTTTTTCTAAGTCCAAAGTAACTTATTTGGAACAGACCATGGCTTTATGCAAATTAGTGTGCGATGATATTGTACTACAAAGGGCACTTTTTAAAGGCCCATTTTGAAATTAGACTTAGCTTCATTATAAACTATAGCTGACGTAAAAAATAATAATTTTAATACTGGAACTATTAAGGATGTAGCTACCACGGAGTCTCACTATCACTATTAAAAGAAACAGGTAGGAGGGGTCGTCTCAAAAGCAAAACCAGGACGGGTGTCACAGACGGTGGTTGGGGTTGGGCTGGGGGATAGAGATATCAGCTAAGATAAGATAATCCTTTAGGGGAATAAAACTGGGGAAATAAACGGCCTGCATAACAATTTACAAATAATATCCAGGCCGGTCGATCTTCGGGTTGTCGTGCCACCTATATATTTTGAGACGTTCAATACGATGGCGGATTTAAGCTTTTCTATGGGTATCATACTCTTTTACATATCTCAACATAAACCAAATGAAAGAAAGGCAAGTAAGATGTTAATCAATATATGAGACATATTCCACACTAGTGGTTGGGAATTGGTTGAAATCTCACAATTGATGATTGGTTCAATACCAACGACCAATCATCGAAAAAAATTGGTTCGCGTCATTTTTTAGATTTTCCTATTCAGGTTGTAATTGCAGATAAGTATAAAGAAAAAACATTTGGTTCTCTGTTTTAGTTTTTGAAACTGCACAAATTACATTTGCAAATTTCACATCCAGTGTAAAATAATTCAGTTCCAGTGTAACATAAACTTCCCAGATTCTTCAAGAAATATTCAGTCATGACTTTTCAGAAAGTGAAGTGAGTTTTCTTAGAAATAAACACGTTTTCAGGCCCTGACAACGTCCTAGATATGTTCTATCATCAAGTATTTCAAATTCTATTACAGCGGTTCCAAAATCGTTTGTGTTCGATTATGAGAAATTGTGATCGATTGCTTGGTCGTTTAGCCACTGCGACCAATCTTCGATTATTTCAATTAATCGGACCACCACTATTCCATACACACGTAAAAGCATACAGTACTAATATCTTTGAGATGGCCCCTTATGTCTGAAGGCAGCACATGAATTTCATGCCAGGTAAGTCGACGGTCCGTCGTCATACCTGGCTGAGCGTCCTAATTGCCATCTATAGTCTCATCTATTGTTTTCAGCAGCTATTGGTATTTTTTCTATGTTTTGTCCGATTTTACGAGTAAACATACTTTACTGGATATCCTATTACGGATCCGACATATACTATTTGCAGTTGTGTAAATTTTACGGATACAGAGTAACAGCCTAAAAACTATTTTTTTCTCTTTCCGACAGTACTTTAGTTAAGTAAACATATGATCGGGTGATGTAACACCCGACAGGGGCGGATACAGCTTTATGGAGAAGGAGGGGAAAAAGAAGGGGTGCATGGTTTTAACCCGTTTTAACGAGTTTCAATGGTCATTTAATACAAATCTTTGAAGGGCATTTAGAAGTGGAATGCATGAGAAAAGCAAGATATAGGGATTTCAACTTCTTTATTGTGAATAACACCACGTTTCCGAGCGTATGTTTGCGCCTTCATCAGGTTTACGAAATATGGGAAACGGACGTAAAATATCCAAATCATCACCAATCAGGGGAAAAGACACACCATATGAAGGGTTGCAAAACACTATTACCTTCATACTTAGGTCATGTTTTAATAACAGCACAAAATGGTAGCTCTAGTTGACAGCTACCAGTTCATCTCCCTATGGTCTTCATATGGATATTACTTTTCGAAATATAACTCTTCAAAATATCTCGATTTATGTTAAAATGGCATTAGTCAGACTTTGGTCTTTTTGCTTGGTAATGATTACCCAACTCTTGTGAAGAAGGTACGAAAGTGAGTTTGCCCACGTTTTTGGATGCAGTGCTGCGTGAAGAATGTTCGATTTCTCCATATTCTGGTGAATTTGAGGTGAGTTGCTACATGTATGTGACGAAAAGCAATCCCATTTCAACAAAACCCAACCACTTTTGATGTAAGAATAACATTCAAATGAGAAAATTGGTTAAAACACTTACAAAAACTGTTGTAATGTTAAGAAGCTACGATGTGTTTGCAGATTGCAAGAGCTTCTAGCGAATTTTTAATGTTGATGTTTTCAATTACCTCTTTCCATTTGTATTAAATTTGTTGTGAATTTAAGAATTAAATTTACTTACCTCAAATGGAATTTTTATTAACCACCAATGAACATTTTTTTTATTACCTGAAATGTTTCGTTTGAAGGTCATGTTCCATATTTATTTAGCTAACGATTTCAATTACACCTTTGTATTTTTTGTTAATAGACGTTTCGATTTACCTTAAATGGAAGTGTTACTTACTTCAAATGACGTTTTATCTACATCAAATGGACATACATGTATTTTCTTTCCCTCAAATGTTTCACTTGAAGTTCAATTGCATTATTATTTGAGGTGAGGTGAGGTGACAGTGGGTTTAACGTCGTGCTTGAGAATATTTCGCTCATATGACGACGTGCATGCGTGTGTATGTGTATGTGCGGCTGCTTGACTAGCCCAGACTTAAGCTGGTTTTATAGTGCTAGCTCACTGAGATATCACGTAGTAGTGAAGCAAGAATACCCCACTCAGACACATTATACTGACTCCGAGCCGACCAGTCCTTGTTGTACCCATTAATGCCGAGCGCCAGTCAGGGACCAACAAGTAACATATTTTAACGTATTTTGGTATGACGCGGTCGGGGATCGAACCCGCGACCTTCCGCTCTCCGGGCGGACGCTCTAACCACTACACCACATTATTATTTGAATAAATGGGAACAAAGCTGTTCTTAAGAGTTTGTTTGTTGTGGGACTTGAGGATTAAGATTCAACCACAATCCCTTTAGAAATTCATGAAATTTGAGCTGGTAAAAGTATGAAAACCTGTCATTAGCAATGAATGTTACTACCACTAGATATAATTAAAGTCAAATTTGACAAAACAGCCGGCATTATTGAAGTATTATAGACCAAACTTAACCCTGGCTCTTTTGGCATAAAACTTCGCTGACTAAGGTCATTTTGCTCTGTAATTTTGATGTGACTAAGGTGATTCTGCTTTGTACTGCACACACAAAATAATCATTTTCTGTTACATTTTGGTGAGAATCTGCTGGTCATGTACGTAAATGATTTTGCTTTTGATCGGGTATTTTAAGTTGGATAACTTGTCCCCAATCCCTTTCACATTTGTGAATAAAATATGTTTAAATCAATGATTTTGCTCCAAGCATGGCTATGGTTTAATAATGGATTGTGTAGAAAATCTGCAACAGATTTTAAAACTCTTTTTTTTTCGTTCTCCTGGTAAGTTTGAAATTGTGATTAAGGTTGGTTTGCTTTGCAACCCGTCATATATCGATTCGATGCTAAAACGGTGCAATTTTAGAGTAAGAAACAGATAACTGTACTCGAGCGTGTTAGATACCATATATCTAGCTAGTTTCGAAACTTATCCAACTCGCTTCGCTCAACAGATTTGCCTTGAAACCAATCCCGGCAAGACAAATAGTGCTTGACAGGGACAGACACTCATATACGAATCTATGTTTCTTAATGTATACCTCCCTGCCAGTGGGAAACACACTTAGGATAACTGGAATCAAACATTCGCGTCAGGTCGAATTCAAGGTCCGTGATTGGCCTCCTCATGGTGATGACATGTGGTCCGACATGACGCACTACATTCCCGATAATATAATTAATTGATAAGGTACTCGTGCTTCACTCAGTGCAAACATGTTACTCTTGCCAAGAATACCTGCTTTTCACTTTCACTATTTTATTGTAAGTAAGGTCTTCATGCAATAAACTCTTCAAACGTTTATTGTCTGTAGTTGTTGTAGGGTAGGCCTTGTCATGCCTTCAAATTGGTTTCAACAATCGGTAATATCAGTGGCAAAAACTAAGAGAAATGGGATTCTTCAAAGGTATATATAGAAGTTGGTGCAGTAATACAAGACAAATCTTATGGATAACAACTTCATGATTTATTTTTCACAACGTTTCTGGGCCATCCAACCGACGAAGGGCATAGAAACTGGCCCAGAAACGTTGTGAAAAAGAAATCATGAAGTTGTTATCAATAAGATTTGTCTTGTACCAGAAATGGGCCTCACACATTGTACCGATATGGGGAATCGAACCTGTGCCTTCAGGGTGACGACCGATTTAACCACTAAGCTACCCCACCGCCCACCGTAGAGATTTGATTGATGAACATATGAAGGATGACGTATTCTCTGAAGGCGTAGATTAATCTCCAGTCAAGAAGCAACTGATAACTTCCCTCTATCTTAAACGAAATCACTCTTGTCTACCGTTAACTTCCAGTGTTCAAAATAATTTTCTTATCTTCGGTGGTGCAAAACATCATCTGAAAATAACATAAGAATTAGTACCAGTTGGACTATATCTGGGTGTAGTCATAATGCTTTTATTCTAAAAATGACAACAGAGAGGGACTCAGTATACAACCTTGCCTCACATTGCATATCATGCCAAAAACATGTGACAGTGAGGTTGCATTTTCTTTTCATTTTTTGTATTTGCACAAAATAGTAATGTGTGGAATATAAATCAACCAAAACAAATTGAGACTATTGGCCGACTATTTATTGATATACCAGGTGTGACATATATATATTATTAACTACTCATTTGACAGAAAAGCATTTATTCAAACACATAGAAGCAGAATGTGTAAAAAGGACAAACAGACAGACACATGTATGAAAGACTAGGAATGGCAATGTCATACATATCTATTTTTATAAAACATTTTTGCTGTAAACATCCTACCACACAGGGGCGGTGTGGTAGCCTAGTGGTTAAAGCGTTGGCTCGTCACGCCGAAGACCCGGGTTCAAATCCCCACATGGGTACAATGTGTGAAGCCCATTTCTGGTCTTCCCCCGCCGTGATGTTGCTGGAATATTGCTAAAAGCGGCGTAAAACCAAACTCAGTCAGTCCTACCACACATACTTGTACCAGTAGATATCCACGTCTAGTGAAGAGAACATAGTCAACAACTGACACCTAACATCATGGTCAGAACAAATATGGTCACCTTCAACTAGAGGCTCTAACAGGATCAACTAGGGAGTTGCATAGCAGCTTGGGCACATTAGAACATAGACAAACTGAAGCTGATACAATCAAGATGTTTCCTCTTTCAACAGTGAAATAATCTCATGTACTTCTGTTTCAGTTGGGGGACCTTTTGTAGCCTCTTGGTAAGAGTTTTCTCACCACACTGAGCACCAGGGTTCCATTCCCACATGTGCACAATGAGGGAGGCCCATTATTAATGTCCCCTGCTGCGTTATAGCTGAAATATTGCTAGAAGCTGCATAAAACTATACTCTCTCACTCATTCAGGGAAGATGGAAGTCTGTGACCTGGGAATCTGTCTTGGGGATGAACACTGATGCAAAGATGCTTCCCATTTCATCAGTGGCAGTCCAATTGCTGCCTTCTCAGGGCTGCGGACCAGTCGATAATCAATTTTGTTGAAGTCAGCGTCATCATCATATATAATGTCATCTCTGGGTGTGTTTGGTTGGCATCCAGTGTCATGCTTGCTGAAGGAAAACCTTGGACGAGAAATATTCAAATGCACATCTAAACCAGTTTCAGGATCAGTTACCCAGTATTTGGATTTGGAAGATACAAAGTTCTCAGCAGGTCGAACTGGACATTTCAGCTTTGCTTGCTCAATTAAATGTTTCACTCTGCGTTGATGAGAGACCTGGTCATGTGACAAGGGATCTCGACAACCTATCATTTCACACTCTGCATGAGCCTTGTAGAATGTAAGTCGAAGTGGCCTTCGCTTTATCCTCTCAGGAGGTTTGTTGATCTGTCGAAGAACTTCCAGCTTCTCCCTCCATGACAGGCCATCAAGTGTTCTTGGGGTCAAGGTCACCTGGAAAGGGAGACAATCCATAAATGACTGCAAATATGCAGCTACTACAAATTTACATGGATTGACACAGCATAGATGACAAAGCTAGGACGTAGAAATAAAGCAAAACCTCTGGTGGGTTATGGATCATTGATAGAACAGCAGGCAAAATGTGCAAAAATGATGTCGCAATATGTTGCCTTTAAACTGTAAAAGTGTTCATGAACATGGTAGATAAAGAAAAAGTAACAAGTTAACTTACATGTAACAAATACTACTACCTCTTACCATCTGATAATTAATAGTCACAAACTTACTCTTATTGACATTAATAGCACATTTCAGGTACAGTGAGAAATTATACCATACTAACCCCTGTATACATGGAGGAAAGATAGTTCAGAACTGACAGCTCACACATATTACTGAGTCAAACAGAGAATATGATGTCATCATCCATAAAATGGCTTTAATAATGAAAGGGTACATGATTGGCATTCATGCTGCTTCAATCAGTATCATTAATCTCCATGATGCTCACAGGTAGTTCAAAATGACATATGGATAAGTTTCATTAAACTATTTGTGTCAATCTTGATTGAGGCATTAAAAAGATACTTTGTAATCTTATAAACTGTTATTTGGACTGAGTAGGTACTGACTTCAGAAACATCATCACACATGACCCATAGAAGATTCAGGGTCATAATTCTTTCATTCTGGATAAAATTAATTCTTGGATAAAAGCTGCAAATGGCAGTCCCAAAAACAGGTGAACAAGACAATGACACATTCTGTTATTTCATGCACATACAAAACAATAATGTTAGTCACATGCTGTGATGGAAAGGAACCATGGACCATTCAATACAAAACACTTCAAAGGTTATTGTCCAGGGCTTCTGATTACATGTGACACAGATTGAATGACTCCACCCTAAATTTCTCCATCCTCGCATTTCTACAAACCTACACTGACACCAAGATCCTCTCCCGTAGTTTTCATGATCGCAAATAATCCTTAAATGGCAATAAACATTTCCCAGGCCACGCTACGAGATAAGAACAGCAATCAACAGATATGAAAATATCCTTTCCATCAAATGCATTTCTGAGGGCTTTCATTTGCAAGTCAGTCTTTCAATGTTGAATTTCTTCTAATAATGTCATAATCAGCGGGACTGGTTACCATATTGTTGACGTTGACATTGCCAGCCTGATGAAGATGGTTTGTTGTTTCGATTGGGTTGATTGGTTGACTGGCATTCTAAATGTTGGTGAGTCAGTAAGCAGGGCTCGATTTAAGAGATGTTCACCTACTTGCACCAGGAGCAACCTGAGATGAAAGCCTAGTTGCACTGACCAAATTTCAGTTGCACTGCTTTTATTGTGATATGTAATGAAAGAAATATGCTATTGAATTATTTAGGTGTTTTATTCAGAGGTTTACCCACTCAAAAATTGACCTGGTGCAAATTAGACTAATAACTAGGTTGCACTTTGCAATATTGGATTGCACCAGTGCAAGTAACAAAGCACTAAATCGAGCCCTGGTAAGGAAGCATACCTTTAAGGACAACAACTTGTTGTTTATTGCATGGAGTGACATTTTGGTGTAGTTTCTCACATTGATATCAAGCTACACCAAAACGTCACTCTATGCAATAAACGAGAAGTTGTTATCAATAAAGACAAATACTTCATCATTCTGCTTGGTCTGTTAGATGGAGTAGCACAGCAAATCAAACTGGATCATGGAATTCAACAAGCAGGTAATTAGACATTACAGTAACCAGGGAAACAGACCAGGAGCTGGTCTAGCTGAAATCTTTGGAGATATAGAGGAGGATGTTTCTTATTCCTTGCCCTTTTCCTAGTGTTGGTAATCGGAAACCAAATCCACTATCGATTATCGGACAACTTGTGGTGTACGATTATCGAATGTAATCCCCAATATTAAGGGTTTTTCCCCATTCTTTTCTAATAAATATTTTTATAACTAATACTCTCATCCAAGAAAGACAATGGAATTGTAATTAAACAATAAAAGTGGTTAACATTTTACAATGCGCATAGCTTTAAGCTGTTGAGTGGATGTTTGTATGTGAATATTCGACAAATTTAATGGCTAGTTTACTTCATTCAAGTGTGCTATACTAAAACAACAAAAGTCTGATTAATCGAAAATATGTTTTTTTACAATCGATGATTATTTTTAATCTTTCTTTCAATCGAATTTCGATTATTTTCGATCATCGGAACACTGCTACCCTTTCCACAGGTCATGCGGAGGCCGATTTGTAAATATGAACCCGATCAGTGCCAATTTTTGTTGTCCAATGCCACACCCAGTAAAATTCCGAACCATATTTAGGTGCCATGATAAATGATTAAGTCTAATTCAGACAATCCCGTGATTGAAGTCCTGTGCACTGATCCTGGCATCAGCCTACATTGACACACATTCAACCAAGTTACCGAGGATTATGTAGTTGCTGAGGGCCAATTATGGCATAGAAAACCCAGGATGTCGAGTTACCATGGAAGCAGTAACATGGATACACGCACAGTTAGCAGAAACATTCAGTAAGGACAGGAGTTAGTGACAGTTTGAAGGAAGAATGATACCTGTTTTCTAACTACTTTGTAACAGGGTCATAGCGAGTTGCTAGGCTGACATACGCGCGGCCATTTGTATCAAACCACATCTGAAATACAACGTTATACCACATCATACAACAGAAACAACACAAAATGAAACACTTCTTCAACTGAAATCAAAATCGGTAATAGAAGAAAAAAGTTACATGATGATATCATTTGAAGATTATGTTTTTAGTACCTACACTTTTCACAACATGATATTAAGGTTAATAATCTGTTGAGACGACCTGATTTCTTTGTTGTTCAATGTTCAGGCCTACCAAAGAAAACTTTCCCACTGTGCAGAAAAACGCAGAAAAGCCAACATTAATCGTGGAAACAGCAACATAAACATAATACCTCGCTACTGAAACAGTAAAAGCGGCAACTTTAAATCGCTTACACTGCATCATAAAACGAGGAGCCCGCAACTTCGATTTTGCGCATGCGCTCATGGAAGAGGAAGTCTCTACCGCATGTTGACATTTTCCACCTTGGACAAAAGTTACATTCCTTTTTAACTATTTCAATTGTGTTATTTGACATTTATCATCATGATACTTGTGTGCACACTTGTTTAGTTTACTTTCCATTCATATGAAACGATTGACAGCAATTATTTCAACATATTTAATACTTTTTCTACGCGAGGCGATTCACGGTTGCTCAGAAATTGGAAAGAAGCCCGGATCGTAATGTGCATGCGCAGTAGAGGTCAATGTTCGCTGATATAAAAATGTTGCAGGTTCATAGTTTTTGTTGCCGTTTTTACTGTTTCAGTAGCGAGGTAATGTGTTTATGTTGCTATTTACACGATTAATGTGGGCTTTTCTGCGTTTTTCTGCACAGTGGGAAAGTTTTCTTTGGTAGGCCTGATGTTGCACTCAGTAATATTCCAATGAACAGCTGTTGATAGTGTCTTAAATATAATTGAGCATTACCAGACAATCCAATGATTGGTATTTGTGGCAACAATCTGTGAATGGGTATGACCCACTGTACATGAACCAGATCTTATTACCAGATCACCTTTCACAGTCACCAAAGTCTTAAACAATGTTGGCCTAGCTTGTAATGTCTGACAGGAGTTCATCAAGTGGTTCCACCATTTTTGGGAACAATGATAAGCTGTACATTTGCACAGAGTAAAATCAATATGAATAGGTCACATATTAATTGACTATTAACATTGGCTGATAGACAAAGAAAATGGACAACAAAATCAATCACCATATTCACCTTTCCAACATTTTAAAATATCTTAGAACTTGACTTCACATCTGTGAAAAAGTCCAAAAGAACAAATTTCAGTTACCATATTTAACATTATCATGTTATTTCAGCCTATTAGAGAACTTAATTACAAGAAAACACACGGTAATTTGCAAGCATAATAAATAACACACCAAATCAATGTAACATGTTAGTATTTTGTATTAGTGAATCAAGTCAAGAAACATTCAATGTAAATATGCAAACAAAATTAGCAAATCATGCAAAATGTTACACAACATGATAATCATATTATTTATACAGGTTGACCAAACATTATAGGCTGGGCTTATAATCACCAGACATTGCTGTTTCATGATAGGTATACCCTCACAGAAACTGGTAAAGTTTAGTTCAATTATTTCAAGTTAACTTAGATAAAGTGATGATTACCTTAATACCCATTTACCACCAACCTACTAAATCTCAAATGATGCCCGATAATCAGAAATAGCAGCGAAAATTGTAAGACTGGATTACTGCAAATACAACACCAGGTGTTCTAATTTAACACGTAACAATAAAGTTAACATATCCTGGTCCACAATACACAATGAACACCGGAATTCTTCTCCAAGTGACCCAAAGTAACTAGTCTTACATGTCAATGAATACACTGCCATAATGATCCTCATATCGCGATCAATGTAGCTATTTGGTGCATTTTTTTCTTCTATATTTCGTCTAGTGAGTGAGTGAGTGAGTGAATTTGATTTTACGCTGCTTTTTGCAATATTCCAGCAATATCACGGCAGGGGACACCAGAAATGGGCTTCACACATTTTACCCATGTGGGAAACAAAACAGGGTCTTCAGCGTGACGAGCGAAAGCTTTAACCACTAGACTACCCCACCACCCATATATTTCGTCAAGAAGTCAGGTTAAAACTCAAGAGTCAGTACAGCTTACCGATGGAATAAGCAGAGTGTGGTAAACACCCTTCCATTTCATCTCTGAAAGTGGGTGGTGGGGTAGCCTAGTGGTTACAGCGTTAGCTGCCAACGCTGAAGACCCGGGTTCGATATTCCCCACATGGTACAATATGTGATGCCCATTTCTGGTGTCCCCGCTGTGATATTGCTGGAATATTGCTAAAAGTGGCGTAAACTAAACTCACGCACTCATTCATCTCTGACATAAAAATCTCATGTCTCCCTTAAGCATCATGACCACTGATGCACAGAACTAGTTTCTACTTAGCACCTTAAGCAGTTACTTCTAACTTCAGACTGGCCTCTTACACATAACTTTATCAACTTTACACATAATTATCATTACTTTTATTATCAGTGAATCGTGCCACACCTAAAAGAAGCTGAAATAAAAAAACACACATTAATTTGTTCATAATATAATTCAACAACTGGTGAACACATCAAAATAAACAGTGGGTGTGAAGTTAGACAAAATCAACACGGTGAGTTTCAACACTGATGACTCCTGCACAACAAATCTCAACTCGGTTTACCCCAGATGCTATAGACGGTCCTTGAAGCTGTTGTCCAGACCCGTGGTCAAACTCTGCCATGAGCGATGGCGGGTCTGCCAGAACCATCTCCGCAAGGTGCTTCAGATTATGATCTGCATCCACACACCACTTCTTTGTTCTGCTCGATGCAATGACACGTTGAGGAACATTGTGATTCCAGTAGTTATGGTACGGCACAAATCCTTCTGCGGTCATCACTTCCTCAAGAGGACCTTCTGCCACACACAACTGGAGTTGATCCACCAGCCCTGCTGACCCGTGTCGAGCCTCACTCTCATCAGTCGGGGAGCAGCAATACCTTTGGGTAGGTGTGCGCATTTTACGTGATTTCTTGCGTCCATGTAACTCTCCATAACTCACAGTGCTGTGACTCCTTCCCCGAGAGCTCAGACTCTGAACTTTTAACACTGGTTCCTTTTCAGCATCAGACGATTCACCCTTTATTTCCATAAGTGCTAATGTGTGTTCTCTCACTGCACTACCCTTAGCCATTTTACCTGTTGCCAAAGGAGGAAACTCATCTTTCCCAGTCTTTCTCTTAGACCGATTCATATGTTTTTCACCTCTTGTAGAAGACAGTTTAACATTGGACCGCGGTTGTTTAAATGGGGCATTCATCCCAGCATCCTTTTCATTTCCTTTTGCAGGTTTCCGTTCAAACGCTGATTTCTGTGGGTTCCACATCATCGTACTACTACTGCTCACTATGGTTCCCTTATGAGTAAGGACAGACTCAGAGGGGAAGATGTGATATGTGCATGATGCCTCTAGTTTCGAGACTGCTTGACGGTGGCGGTGGCTCCCAAGCACGTCGTAGAGAGCTTACCAATACTAATGGCTTCGCTCGCCTCCGAAGCTGCTGTAGCCTTCTCAGCCTCCTCCACATCTGGCTGGAGGACAACGCACACTATATATCAGTAAGAGACATCAAGTAATCAAAAAACTGACATGGCTGGTACGGGTACACAGCCTGTTGACAACGCACAGCTAAATGTCAGTAAGAGACATCCAGAAATCATAACAATGGCTTGTACATAGGAATGTCTGTGGGAACATACACATTATGTCAGCTATATCAACACTGACTACATCAGTAATCTGACACATTTGTAGATATTATGTCATGGAAACTTCTTTGAGTTGCATTTTAGAAGTTGGGAAGTACAATATATATATAGAACAAACTTTATGGATAACAACTTCTTTTTATTCGTGAGTGCGACGTTTCGATACATTCCCCAATCATCAAATAGAGTGGTCTGACATCACCATTCTCGCTATCAAACAAACAGACTTCACTAAACGCAAGCTCACCGAAGCCATCCACATCAAACGCCAAAAGCCCACCATCAACCGAGACCAAGGATACTTCATTCCATCCGCTTATGATGCACTCATCCACCAAGCCCAATCTACTGTATAAACTCTGCTGTTTAAACATCTCATTATTATTTGTACATCATTGGCTTCCACACCCGTCCTTTGTCTACTCTCTGGCTTCATCAGCTTACTGCCTAGCCAATTATGTTAATTATGTTGTTTTCTTTGTTACATTGTTACATCCAGTATAAATATACTTCCCCCTTCTTCATGTTCCATTAATGCGTGACCACGGTACAAGAATCTGTATCGAAACGTCGCACTCAGGAATAAAAAGAAGTTGTTATCCATAAAGTTTGTTCTATATTGTCATGGTAATGTCAACAGAAATGTTGTTCGTTTTTCTGTACTTAAACCAGTCATGGAATATTTGTTAGTTTAAAAAATAGTTGGCCTAAAATGTAATGCAGATGGTCAAAAAAGGTTCAAAAGAATTTATGCATTGATAAACTATGTGAGGTATTTGGAATGTGACTCATTGGAAGCACAAACCTCGACTATATGTCTATGTGCTAAATATGGCATAATTCTATCTACAAGCAGTGCTTCATTCAGAAAGATCAACATCTATTTACCCACACCAAAGCAAACCATGAGCAGATTCCCATGCTGCCGTGGTAACGACAAGCAATCAAGCAAGTAGCCGAGCCTTACCAGCTAATACATAGCAGTAAATGTTTAGATTGTCAGCTGCCAGTTCAATATGCATTAGTATTCTACTCTCAAGCTAAGGAAAAACATTTACCTAATTTATAAAGCAGTTTCCGATCAAGCAAGATAATTTTGTAACAGAACAAAAACAACTACATGTTAAGCTTTCACAGATATCATAATCCTAGAGAAGATTTACATATTCTACCAATATATCAGCTCCTTTCGTTTTTGTAATTATCGAAAAAGAGAAGGTTTTGTTCAAAAAGTTCAAAAATTGATATGTGTTCAATATTTCTGAAATAATGAGATTTTCAATACATGTCATGATGAAAGTTATATCACAATGCATCACATCTTCATTAAAGCATCCTGACTCCTGTTGTTTCTAAGCATTCACTTTAACAGTTTTAAGTGTTTTAATAACTGGCATGAATCAAAGTGCTATATCAACAAAAGGTATTTCCAACATAAATATATCCTATTGTTATAAACATCTTCCTGTGGGTACATGCTCAATATAGATCCCTGAGATGAAATTTAACTGCCAAATGATGAATAACGGCCAGATGACGAACAATCCCTGAGACACATCAAACCCTCATTTATGACCTTTGGCCCTGGTGAGCTACAGCTGATTTTCTATATCTATACTATCACACAAGGCTCGCATGGAAGCAGCCATGACTGGTGGGGTTACCTGTCCTTCCTGAGCAGCAACACAAGCCAGTGTATCCAATGTCCTCGACCCTGTGGGTACCACTTCCGACTTCACAGGAATCCCGTTTGAGCTGTAGGGAACAAAAAGAAAGATGTTCCAAATAGGCTATTTCCTTCAGGTGACTTAATGGACTGGAATCAATCCCAGCTGACAGTGTGTTACTGTAATATTACCCCGACAATGTTGGTCATTGTTATTAATATCAATCACTTGATTGTTTGGTCTACAAAATGTTTGTTTATAGTCCACTATCATATGGTTGGGTTGTTAGCAATATTACCCGACAACACAGTAACATTATTAGCAACAGTTTATTGTCTGGTCCAAAACATGCTGCTTCATGACCCACTGTCGTTTTTTTGTTTTTTGTGTTTGTTTGTTTGTTGTTTGTTTTTTGTTTGGTTTTGTTTTGGGGGTGGTTTAGAGGTTGGGGGGGGGGTAATGATGGCTTTAAGGGGTGTCACCTATTTTGTCCTGGGAAGGTAGGCGTGTCATCAATTTTGTACACATTAACTAGGGGTGTCAGCAATTTGGTACATAAACATATTTTAAAATTATTTTTTTCATTGAATTTGTACATGACATGCAGGGTCTGGCTGGTCCACTTCCTTAGTATGCAAATTTTAGGGGGTCATTCACACTGTACATGCTTCTCCATAAAAATTATCATCACCCACCCTAGCCATAAATTATGAATGGTCCGTAAACAATCAGGTTAAGATATATTGACGAAAATACTTGGTGCATCGTGATACTCAGTGCCATGACATCAGTACCATGACATCAGTGCCATGACATCAGTACCATGATGTCATGTATAGGTACAGAATAATACAAACATATAACTCAAACAATTTAAAATATTTGCAAATCAATACAACAATTATATTTTACTAAGAAATGTGTATTAACTGGAAATGTTTCAGCAAAGTGTTTAGACTGACTACAAAGGTTGTAGTGAGCACACATCTTGTGTACAAAACCTTCCATATTAACAGGCTGTGTTCAACTCAGTTAAGCTGCCAGCTGGAATATTTCTGCATGAAAATGGACAATAACTGTTTATAATCAATTATCTCCAGGTGAAAGGGTAAACAATACTGAGGTAATGTTGAGGAAAGGGTTTCCTTACTCTGCCACTGTTAAGAGGTTGGCAGCATTGAAGATGATCCAAGACCACAGACATCTTTAACTTCTACCACTAAACAAGATACCCATAATATAAATCAGGGTTTGATTAAGGAAATGAATGCATGCCCAAATATGGCAATACCACAGTCTCACAGTCAACTCTCCTTACGTTCAGAATTAGTGAGTTTAGTTTTACGCTGCACTCAGCAATATTCCAGCTATATGGCGGCGGCCTGTAAATAATCAAGCCTGGACCATACAATCCAGTGATCAACATCATGAGCATCGATCTGCGCAATTGGGAACCGATGACATGTGTCAACCAAGTCAGCGAGCCTGACCACTAGTGTTGGGAATTGTTTAAAATCTCATAATTGATGATTGGTTCATTACAACCGATCAATCATCGAAAATAATTGGTTAGTGTCATTTATGAAATTTGTAAATGTACCAAAAAACTAAGGAAAAAAACATGTAGTTCTTTGGGGTTTGGGGGCAAAATTTCACATCTTTAAAGGATGACTAGTATGTTAGGAACATAAATTTATTAAAATCTTTAAGATAAATTCAATCATCACTTGGAACGAGCTTGTAGTGCTTATGAAATGTAACAGACAAAACCAACCTAGTGAAAAATACTGTTGATGAAAACAAGTGTTCCAGAATTGTTTGTGTTCGATTATGAGAAAACATGATCGATTGCTTGGTCGTTTAGTCACTGCGACCAATTTTCGATTATTTCAATTAATCGGACCACAACTACTGACCACCCGATCCCATTAGTCGCCTCTTACGACAAGCATAGGTTACTGAAGATCAGTTCCAGCCCGGACCTTCACGGGTCCACTAGGTTCAGACCATTAATAGCTATGGTAATGCTGGTCTGCTCAGGATGCTCAGTAAGGATCTAGAGATTAAACGTCGTGGAAACTCTCTAAGGTGCATGTTCAACCTGGGCAAGGCCACTGTAAACAAGTCTGTTGTTGCCATGGTTGCATCACATGACACTGGCTTATATTTCATTGAACTTCCTCTTATGTTTTCCATATTTGGTGCCAACACGTTCCAGCTACTTTTCAATTGTGAGGATAGAATAATGAACATGTCATTATCACTGTTCACAGTTCAGCTTATAATTTTTCATCTCCTGCTCCTGTTGTATTTTATTGCAAATAACATTTCTAATGATTGCAAGGTGTCTCTCTACATGTGTATCCGAACTCCTAACAATGTGGTGGCGTGTGGTCCTGTGCATTGAGCTCAGGTCACAAATCAGTTGAAGTTAACCAACCTTATGCACGGAGGGTCCTTGGATGGGTGACTGTGTTTGACAGTTTGACTCCTGAGAGTTTCTAGGACTTAGTGATGCATGTGGTCTCACCTTAGGCAAGTGAGTTTGTTCAAAATTGCCTCTGTTCACCTAGCAGAAAAAGGGTACCCAGTGGGATAAGTCATGTGACTATTACCTTCTAGTGCTTCACAGGCAGCTTGGGTTATCCGGGGTAATAATGTACTGTGCCTTGATTGTTAGCGCTATGAGAATGATGCTCGTGAATGGAGTTTAACGCATTATAAATGCACTTATTATTATTATTATTATTATTATTATTATTTATCAATCGCTGGATTGTCTGGTGCAGACTTGATACATACAGCTAGAATATTGCTGGCTGTAAAAATATGAAGTCCTGTCTGCAGCCGTGATGTGCAAACACACAAACTCCAAGTCATCATTACCACAGATAATTTAAAAGTTGTGTTGAGGAAATAAATATTGTGTGAAAGTTGACAGATTGCTTTTGCCTCACACACATTTCACCAATTAGCATTGCAGAGTCCAACCCATTTCATCTTAGCAGGGGTGGAAATAACTTTAAAATTGCTAGTGTACTCTGGTACAGTGGCACATGTAAAATCACTTGCCCTGATAATTTTTTCACTATACCGGCCGTTTTCTTGTTGATTTTTTAAATAAACAACATAATTAATATTGGAAAGTCAACTGGACACCGGTACAGTGTGATATACAAATTTGCTTGCCCGACAGAAAAAACCACTGGACTCGGTCGTCGGGCAATGGGTCATTTCCACCCCTGCTTAGATTAACTGTTATGGGAGGACCACAATTTATTTCAATGATACAACCCACAGAAATAAACATCATCAATCTCAATACACCAACAAGACTACACTTTAAAAAATATTCAACTACAGTAATGATATTTGCAACAAATTTAGTTAATGTCTCTCTATATATAAGACTACAAGAATATAAGAATATATATAAGAATAGGTACCTATGTGTGTATCTAAATGTGTATTTTGGATAGGGATTGAATTGCATAGGTAAGTCCAGTTACTGGGAAAGAACAACTGCCAGTAATGTTTACAGTTAGTGATATTTAGTCTTTTACACTAACATTCCACACAAAATGCATATGACTGATTATTATTCAAGTAGTTGGGGTTTTCTCTCCTTTTTTTATTTTTTATTTTTTTAAATACCAATTTACAAAATCACAAAGGTTTTGCATTTAAATTCATAAATATGAATACTTATAAACAACAAATATTCGGTAACATTATGTTTACAGTTAGTGATATTTTTTAGTCTTTTGCACTAACATTCTACACAAAAAGCATTTGACTGATTATTATTCAAGAAGTTAATATTTAAACAGAGGCCCAGATAAGCTGCGTATCCGGGTAAAATACGCATAGAATTACGCATTGAAAAATAATTGTTGTGTACCAATGACGCATTTAAAATGTTCGATAAGCAGAAAGTTTAAAACAAATGCGTATGGAACATATTTATAAAAATCGCTTGCGTAATGAAAAGACATCGATTTCTATCAAGTTGTACTGTTAGTATAGGACAAGTGTTGTAATATCAGTATAGGATGAGTGATTTTTTATGAAATCATTTCCATTATATTTAAGTTGGTTTTGATTAGGTATGACATAAGGCAGAACATACCTGCTTAGTAAACTTACTCAATGGCATATACTTCGGTGAGTAAAATGACTGAAATACGCACATATTTGAAAGCAGTGGGTAACGGAAAATGAAATACGCACTCAACATTCATAATACCCAATCCCAAAAAATACAGTGGGTCCAGTACCCACATGAGCTAAATTTTATCTGGAGCTCTGTTTAAATACATTTGGAATTTAATTTCCATTCCATCAAAAATGGCGCAAGCTAAAACATGAATGAATTTATATTTAGAATATATAAAAATTTATGGCTTTTGAACTTTGTCAAATCTGTGGACTGATCAACAAAATAGTAATGTATCATGAAGGTCAAGTCTGTACAACAGCTGTGTGTCACTACGGTCAACAAAATACAATTACCTTGTCAACAAGACAACAGCAAAATTATGTCAGACTCATCCACAAACAGACATGAGCTGCCATGAACACAGTCAGTGTGACATATATATGAGACAAATAAATATACCAGTGTTTACTGTCTCTAAGGACAATGCACAGCACCCTGAAACCTGTCAGTTCAACAACGTTAATAAACACTAGCCTGTCTTTGATTCATCCAAAGGAATTTTGATTAACTGACTATCTGATATTGAAGCACGCTCTGACAGGCATGTTCCACCTCCCAGCTTGACAGTCTTGCATGACAGGCTACAGTGTTTGCTAAATGGCTGGTTTGTAATATAGAAATATGGGTTAGGTCACATGGCTGTCTAACACATGCATGGGTTCATCTATACTCTTCAGTGGGGATAAACCTGAGAAGATCTGGGTTAGAATTGATCTTCAGTAATCCATGCTTGTCATAAGAGGCGACTAACAGGATCGGGTGGTCAGGCTCACGGACTTGGTTGACACATGTCATCGGTTCCCAATTGCGTAGATCGATCCTCATACTGTTGATCACTGGATTGTCTGGTCCAGACTTGATTATTTACA